TTTCTTCAAAAGAGGAAATCTTTTTTTAATTTCCATCATTGCAAATTCTACACACAGAAAAAAAATGCGCATAACAAAACTCTTACATTACTCAATTGATGAGCTCAGTTTTCTCTGTTAAACAAGAGCGCACACGCACGCTCTTAACATTCTTAATATTCATATATACGTATGTAGTATTATTATAAATATGCTCTCAGCCATAACAGCGTTAACGGCCAGCGTTTTAAATTTAATCTCGATATGGTAACAAATATGCTACAATTTCATTGAGATAAAAAGACAACAATTGTTCAGGTTTAATGAGCAGCGCGGTTGGTCGGGTCGATTACTTGGTATGCATTTAATGGATGGCAGCAGCAACAACAACAGTGTACAGCAACAGCAGCAGCAGCTAAAGAAACAGCAGTGGTAGTAGTAGATTTCTCACTTGACATGACACAGTTGAAACAGCCGCTAGCACACACACGTACACACAAACTCGTGTACGCACAAAATTGGTACTGTGTCAAATGGTAGTAAATTTACTACATTTTTGTGTGCTAATTGAGTGATAAATTGGGAGTGGATTTTATGTGAATAAATATTTGTATGCTAACACACACACATATATATACACAATGGGCTATATTCAAAATATGGAAATTCACTTTGTGTGTGTGCGTGTGTGTTTGTATGAAGTTGTGTGCAGAGCAATTGATATGCTCATTCAGATTAAATTGTTTAATGTTATTATTAGGAAAATTAAAACATGATCTTTTAAATGAGGTGTGAGGTGTGAGAGGGCGGTTTAGATTAGATTATCATATATATTATTAATTAATTTGCTTAGATATTTAAGTATTTTGGTATAATTAAAAGAGTTTTTAATAAAATTATATTAATGATTCATGTATATTTTCATTGGAATGAAATAAATAAATTAATTGATTAGAATTTAGTGAGTTAATTGAGATAATTTTAAACATAATTAGAGTTAAGCTATAACAAGTGGTGGTAAAAATTTTAATTTATAGTTTATTTCAATATTAAAAAAAATGTAATTTTAAATAAATAATTATTTACTTAAATAATTAAAAAATTGGAGAGGTATTCAAAGTTTGAAAGACTTTAAAATCTTTTACAATGACAGAAATAATTAAATAACGGTATACTTAAAAATTCTAAAATTATTTTAATAATTCTTAGATATTTATTTCAAAATGGGGGGATTTGTTTTCTAACAGAACATAACTAAAAATTTTATAATTTAAAAAATTTTATATAAAAAAATCTGAAAGTACACTAAACACATATTTCGAAAACTGTTGTAATTTCTTTGAATAATGTATGAAACTATTATTTAAATACCTTTTTATTGCTAAGTACAGGTTATTATATTACTATAACATTCTTATCATATTTAGTTCTTACTTAGTTACTTTATTTAAATGGCTACAACAGCCCAACGGCAAGGGCTATTAGAAGGTTTCGACCACCGGGTGTCTCTGTTGCGTAAGTGCTTATCCAATCTTCTACATTAAGTGTGATCAGTGTTTCTCAACTTGATTAGTCCACTAGTGGCAAAGTCTACGTTAACGCCTTCTTTTTACAACTACTGCTAAAAACACTTTATTCGCTGAAACGTTGTCAAACGTTCTGAAGATATGAAGATATCACCAAGCGGCTTTGCTGTAATTATTTAACACTTACAAAAAATCATGATGAAATCTTACATTTTTAAACCAGATACCGCAAGTGTGAAGCTATATTAACACATATCGTGTGAAAAGGCTGCTCAGACATTGAAATTCAAAAAAATCTATTGTTATATTGCTGCACCTAGCATCCTGAAATCCTCTTCTGCTATTTTTAAACAACTTATTTTAAAAAAAAAAAATTACTATAATTAGATATAACTAACTTATTTTAAAACATATTTTTGTTATAAAATTTAATAAATGTATAGAATGCAATCAAATATAACCCACTTATTTTGCGAAAAAGCATTTAAAATAATTCCATAAATTCTTTAATTGAACATATCATATTTTTATTATTACATTAATATTATTTTATTAATATTGATTATTTAATTTTGCATTTTCAAAATTAATTTATACGTTTTTTAATAAAATTCAATAAATATATATAATATAAGTCCATATATTTTAATTTTTTGTAATGAAATTCATTAAATGTATTATTATTTAATATATATAATAAAAGAAATAATTATTTAATTATAAACATTCAACATATATTTTCTATACGTATTTTATAATAAAAATTTTTCTTTTTCAAATTTAACGTCTGTTTTAAAATAGTAGTAAATATTAAGTACTAATTTTAATTTCTAATTTCCCGCAATTTATTTAACTCTCTTAAAATTGAATATTCGCACTAACCACATAGTGACTTTTCAAAAGAGAGTACCATTTACTCCTTAACTTGCTACCATAAAATTTTCTTAAAGTAAAAACAGTATTTTTTCTACTACTTAAAAGGTAGTAGTAGTAGTAGCAGCGATACGATATATGCTCGTACCAACTTAAATTCAAACAGTGAACAACATACTTAATGCCAAAATAAAACCAAACAAATTGACATATGTGTAATTATTATATTAAGTGTGTGCGCATCGTCCATAAGACTACAACGACCGACCCCGAGACCATACCAAAATAAATCAACAGCAACAGAAACAGCAGTAGCAGCAGCAGCAGCAATAACAGCAATAAGAACAGAGCGCAACTAAGTACAGAGCAAGCACAACAATATGAAGTAGTAAAATTTTAAGCCAAATTGAGTTAAACAGAACTGAACTACATGCTCTGCTATGCTATGATATGCTACAACAAAACCAATATAACAAAATTTCTACGTACATACATATGTATATGAACAACATTAAAAGCAGCAGAAGAGTAGAAAAGCAACAAACACAAAAACAGCAAACAACAACCAGCAGTAGCAGCAACTATACAACCAAACTGAACTCAGTTGCTATATGAGAAGCAATAACAAAAATTTCATACAACAACGTCGACAGCAGCGCGCTGTAGCGGCTAACAGTTGATACATTATATGAAAGGCAATAACAAAAATTTCAGACAACAACGTCAGCAGCAAGCAAATACTATATGAAAGCCAATAACAAAAATTTCATACAACAACGTCAACAGCAGTGCGCTGTAGCAGCAAGCATTGTACAATACCAAGCAAACAAAAATTTCATACAAAGTAAAATAAAATAAAAATATATATATAAAACAAAATTCAATAAAATACACAAAAAGCAGAAAACCAAAACAAAAACAAAAACCAAAGTATGAAACTGTAGTACGTGCGTTTATTAAATTCAAGCATGGCAAACGAACCTAAAATACGTACGAACGAATGAATACACAAGAGAAAAAAAATTTTTGTGTTCTCAAATAGCGGAGAGCATGAGCATGCAACTACCAAAAAACAAAAAAAAACAAACACACATATAAGATATAAAACGATAAAGAAAACAAACTCATAAACCGCAGCAACAAAAACAGCAACAACAACAATCAAATAATACCAACAACAACAACAGCAGCAGCAGTGCACAGCAGCGTTACAAAAATTCCCTACCTTTCAAACAACGAAAAGTACGAACGTACGTACGTACACAACGAATTTTGTTTTCTATCCAAAAGTTAAGTTTAGTTCCTTTCTGGCTGCTGTCGATAATGGTGCGCGCGGCGCGGCAAAAATACAGTTGAAACAACAGATAGAAAGATACAAAATTTTATGAATATTATAATAAATATTTTAAGTCAATGTGAAAAATTTTTTTGAGCTAAAAGTAAAAATACGTAAAATTTTTTACATATTATAAATTAATAAAAGTGTTTTGAGAAAAAAAAATTAATTAAAACAAATTAATTTTTACATTGTAAAAGTAAACTAAAAAAGAAAATCTGGTGAAAATTAGAAACAAATTTGTATTAAATTAAATTAAAAAATAAACAAATATTTTTTTTTGTTTTATGAAAAAGATAATTTTGATTTAAACAAAATTAATTTGTTGCAAAACCGGTTGGTACAATTGAGTTGCAAGTGACAGTGACAGTCGTCGCATAGACCGTTAAGTGAATTGGTGAATGAGTGGAGAAATTGTAAACGATCAAGTGGCGCATTTTAAGCTTTCGAAAATTTCGAAATTAAGCAAATAAAAAAAATAATAAAAAACGTTACAATTTCAAATTTAATTAAAGCGAAAATATTTGACAAATTAATTGACAAAAAAAATTTTATTACAAAAAAAATAAAATTTAAGACAAAACTAGCAACAATTTTAGAAAACAAAAATATAAACGTAAATATTTTTAAAGAAAAAAAATTTTCATAAAATTTGTGAAAATTTAAAAATTAAGTTATTTAAAAATAAATTAAATTATTAAAAGAAAAATTAATAAAAATTAAAAACAAAAGTTGAAACTTATTTAAAAAATATATGCATATAAATACATTTCCTAAAAGTTCAATGAAACAATAAAAATTTTTAGTGAAAAAAAGATTTTTAGTGAAAAAAAAGTATTAAAAGAAAATTTTTTTTGTAAATTTAAATTTACAAAAAAGTGAAAATCAAATTTTAACTAAAATTGAATTAAAAACAATTCCGCGCTAAAATATATTCTGGATAAAAGTAAATAAAATAAAAGTTCCTGTTGCTTGTAAACAAACAAAATACACAACAAACAAACTAAAAAGTGTTTGACTACATATACAAATTTTCTAACAGTATTATTAAACAATAAATACATATACACATATATATATATGAAAAGTATATTGAAGTAGCTGCAATAAATACACTAAAAATTAACAAAAAAAATTATTAAACTTCGAAAAGAGTATTCAAATTAAAAAAATAAAAATTTAATTATGAAAAACTAAATTAAATTGTATATGAAAAAAATCTTGAGAAGCCAAAAAGTAAATATTTTTTAAAAAATTATAAAAAAGTAAATGAAAATTAATAAAAATGTTGTTAATGCAAAATAAAACATTTTGAGTAATCCAAAAAACCCCCAACAACAACAACACTAAACCAAACATAAAGTGCACCACTGCACTTACCTGAAAAATTTTTTCACGTGTTTTTTTGTTTTCGAGAAATGCAATTAATTGTTGACAAAATTCCCATGTTTTCGAAACAAACAACGAAGCGCAATTCCAAAAAGTAAGTCTACAAATAAAAATAATTACAAAAAATAATAAATTAAACATTAATAGTTTATTTAAAATAGTGCAAAATACTTTTATCAATTAAAATAGTGTAATTTTAACGTACTTTTAACTTCTAAAATTCGACTTCAAATAATTAACAACAATAATAACAAAGATCGCAAAAATTGCAAAAAAGACAAATAAATAATCAACAAAAAGAAAAAGAAAACATAGTTTTATTTAAAGCAAAAACAATAAAAATAACAACAAACAATTATTTAAAAATATTTAGTAAAATTTAAGTCAATTCTTCTGCACCCTTTATTTTTGGCACAACTGCATCTGCCACTGCCACTGCCACTGCTGCTGTTATCGTTCCCATATACCAAAGCAAAGCGTAGCGCAGGCAGGCAAGCAAGCAAGCCAGCAGGCAGAGAATAGGCCAGCAACTCAGTGATAAGCTGCTGTTATCAACAAGATGTTGCATTTAAATTTAGGTAAAATATCTAAAAAAATATTAAATTATAACATATTCATATTGTAAAATACCATATAATTGCTACTATTACTAAATGTGTGTGTTTAATTTTTTTCTAGATATTTTATTTAATTTTAAACTAATTTACTCTTTAGAAAAATTAAAAAAATAATTATTTACCCATTTACACAATTTTTCATTTTTTTTTATTAAATTAAAAAAAATATTAAAATTAAAAAAAAAATGAAAATTCACAAATAATAATTTAAATTTAATATATCATTTTTAAAGTGTAAATAAATTATTTATTTTTAATTAAATTATTTTTGCATAGTGATTTTGTTGTTATTGTTGTTGTTGTTTATAATATGATTGGTAACTTATTTACAAATCAAATAGCTGTTTATTCATATTTAATATACTTATATACAAAAGCGAATTTTAGTATGAAAATAAAAAAATATTAAACAAATTATTAATTGAAAATATTTTAAAACTTATGAAAAATTCTTTTTTTATTTTTGTTTACATTTTTTTATTCTTTAATGAGTACACTAATTTACCCCTTACTTAATGTCGTATTTAATATTTATTGTACTTATTTATTAATAAGTACATTTTTTATTTATTTTTAATTTATTAATTAATTTATTTTAATTATAATTAATTTTATAAATTAATTTAAAAGGCAGACAAATAATACAAGAAATCTTGAATGTTATTAAAGATTATTATTAAAATTCTTAAGTCTGAAGATGGTTTACGAAGTAGACTGAAATATCTGTTAAAGAAATAAATACTGTGAAATTACTACTTAGAAATTTTTAGTTTTAAAGTAACTTTATATATAGTCTAGTAACTACATAAGATACTAGATTAAATGAAACAATTCCTATATCTAAATTTATAGTACCTATATAACAAGACAGATGTGATCTGCATAAGATACTAGATTTAATTAAACATTTCTTAATTAAATATACTTCGCTTCCGTTTTAAATTAAATAATAACCATTCATTAATTTCCAATAAATACAAATATTTTGTAATATTTACATATTGTTTTAAATTAATTGCTCATACATTAAATTTTAACAGATTTAAATACTTTCTAATATTTCCATAGAAAATCTTTAATAGATTATTTTATTTAAAATCATACTTATTTAAAGTTTTAATTTATAAATAATTTCTTAAAAAATATTCTATAGTAAAGCATTTAAGTTCTGATGAATTTTTACCTATATATTATATCAAATTATGTGTAGGTAGCAACATTGACCATTTAAATTTGGAACAACTCATTAATTCTTAAAAATTCTTCTATTATATTTGACACAAGTACAATAATTTCATTATATTAATTTTAAATCACATATAAATATTTATATTTATTAAAAATATTTATATATATTTATATTCTTTCTTATATATTTAATAACTAAATATTTGTTTACTTGTGTAGTACATATAAAAAACAGATGGGATATAACTGTCGTATAGCTTTTTTATATATTTTTGCATGCTTAGATTAGATTAGATTATAATAATCAACACTGGCTGTTAAAGTCTTCGTCTTAAATGTTTCTTAATCTTAATGGGTTAAGTTATACCGAAACCGGTATTTTATAAAAGAAAAATATGTTAACGAAAGTGGTGATTTGACCCACTATGCGCTCGCATAATAATGTTTGTTTACATATTACATATTACTATATATTACTTAATATTAAAAAATTCATACTTTTAAAAATTCACAGTTTACTTTTAGATTAGAAAAAATAATATTATTTATTATAAGAAAAATACAAAAATTTGTTAAACATAACATCGAAAATAACTCAAAGTAACATAAATAAATAAAATAATAACGAATAAATAAAATTATGGATGTTATAAATAAACAATAATAAATAAATAAATAATATACGATAAATAAATAAAAATAATAATATATAAATAAAAATAATAAAATGTATATATATATTTTATATATATATATATTTTATATATATATATATTTTATATATATATATATTTCATTTATATATTTATATAAATACTTCTTCACTATTTCAATAATTCAAATAAAAAATACAAATATTGTAATATATAATCTCATACCTTATAATACATTAACACAAATATTAAATTAAAAAAAAGCAATGTTCAAGTGTCAAAAATGCAGTCAAAAATTTTTTAAAATTTTCCATAATATCATTAAATATGTACATACTTCCATATACGTGTGTATGTATTGTATATTTAAATAATATTTATAATTAACAAAAATTAAAGTTCAAAGTAATCGTCACTGTTTTAAAATTGAATTGTATTACGCATTATCCATCAAAAAAAAAATATTAAGGAATTCGTATCTTAACGAAAAAAAAAAAATTAAAAACAGGGTCTTTGTTCTCTGAATTCGTCACTTTTGTTTACCCTATCTTGGTTTTTATATTTAAATTTTATATATCCACGAAAGTTAAGAACCCCAACACTCAATGCATACAGCATATAACAATCTTTAAAAAATTATTTATTTTATTTCAAATATATTTAGAAAAATTATTTTAATATTTCCTTCAATTGATATACCGTATGAATACAATTTTTTTTAAATATTTACAATTATTTGATTAATGTAATATACTTTTATATATTATAACAATTTTTTTTTGTCTTATGCTTACGTCTTTTATACTTTATGTATCAACAAGAAATTTTATTTGAAATATACATTTAAGATATAATAGATATAGTATAACATATTAATATACATACGTAGTCTGTCAGAATTTATGCTATAAACCACTACTTCACAGTTGTAGAATAGGTATTCCTCAATTTCAACCGATTTATTTCTAGAACATAGGTTGTTCAATATACATAGGAGTCATATCTCAGATATCCCATGATCGATTATACAAGCCACAATCTTAAATATGCCATCTGTTTGTAGGCTGAGTACATCTCAATTTTAATCTTTTGGATCAATAGCACTGATTTCGTTATTTAATAAAAAAAAAATGGTCTTCTGAATATCAGTTATATTTCAATAACAAGGATATATGATAAAAAAAGAAGCATCTATGCGCTTTTTCGATAGAAAAGATGACACTGAAATCAATTTGTCATAGTTATATTAGTCTTTTATATTTTAGAGTATATATCGATATAAATCTTAACATATGGCTTGTAAATTCTTTATTTAATGTTCAGTGTTGTTAACCACTAGCCTACTAAGTCTACCTAGATATAGCTATAAAGTTTAATTTAAAAATATTTCTTAGTTTACATACATGTAAGTACCTATAGGAGTAGAGTGTTTGTTGTGCAAGTACAAGACATATAAAAGCCATGTCTTAAGAGAGTTCATCTCTCTTAATATATCGCCATTTGCTATAGATTAGAATGATATATTCGTTCTTAACTTATGATGAAACGGGATTTAGTGTCTAGAGCACATTTACTGAATAGTGTCTGTGACCACTTGGGTGAACCACTGTAATATGAGTTCCGTTGAATTCTGATAGACTTTACAGAAGTATAGTTTAATACCCTGCATATCTTTCTGACGGAATATATATTGAATTTCATTATCTAAATGTGATATATAATTTCATATAATTTACTTGTGACTTTATTATTATTATTCAAATTATTATTATTAGTTCGTTATTACCACAAACTAGAAAGATCTGTTCTTCTTATCTATATATGATATAAAAGTGTATATTGTTTTCTTGCTAATTTATTAATAGAATTATTATTATTAGTTAGTTATTGCTAAAAACTAGAAAGATCTAACCTTCTTATCTAAATTATCTATTAAATTGCATATTGTTTTCTAGCTAATTTGGGAAACGAAAAGATTTATTTAAATAAATATATGTATATATATCGTACTTTAATGCTTTTCTAGATAATATGCCAAATTCAACTGAAAAACATAATAAGTTCAAAACAAGCGAAACACTTTATTTGGTGTAGATAAGGTTTAAAATTTAATTTGAAAAATATTCTATAGGTGGTATATTATATACCTATAATTTCACTTAAAAAAGAGGGTCTATACAGAATTTATAAATATATTTATATAGCTTATTTAGTTCATTTCGTTATATTGTTGCTTTAAATTTTTACAATTTTATCTATTTAATGTATAATTTGTGGTTAACCGAAAATGTTTTTGTTATTTAACTTATTGTACATTGACTATAAAAAATTAATTTTTGCGCTGCTTATCTTTTTTATATACTCGCACCTAAAATTTTAGGTCAAATAGTATTACAGAATTGTGAATATTGTAATATTTTATTTAAAAAAAAAATTATCTTTTATTTTAAATAAATGGTTTGTTATTTTTTAATATTATTACCACAATTTCTATGCAATGGTGTATATAATATTAATTAAATATTTATATATATATATATATAAAGTCTGTGGTTTACTAATAAACACATAATTACTACTAATTAAAATGCATAATTTAATATGCTGCGTTATCATTATGCAGCTTAATATTAAAA